AGGAAAGGAGCCAGGGATTTAGCTCAGTGGTTTCGCCACCTGCTGTGCAAGCTCAAGGACCCGAGTTCGATCCCTGGTACCAAAAAAAAAAAAAAAAGAAAAAGAGGAAAGGAGGAAGATGGGAGAAGGAGGAGGGAAGGAAGGAAGAAGCAGGGCTGCTACAAGGTAAAAATGTAAATAAAAATAGAAATTAAGACTCTTCAAAGGCAATTATTTATAAATATTTAAGAAGGGGAGAGCTGTCTGTTAAAGAATTTAGTCTGAGACTTGGTAAACAAAATGCCACAGAAAATATACAGTAAATGAATGTGGCATCCACAATGCTAGTAACATAATTTGCTTATTTCTCTCTGCTTATTTTCCTACATGTGACACAAGCCTTTAAAATAAACTAGCTATACTTATGCTTTAGATACTTCTGAAGAATCTTCCTTCTCAGAGGTTTTTTTTCCTTGTTTCTTGATAAGATTGCCAGCAATTTTTACTATTAGATAAACAATTATAGCATAAAATGAGCTAAAGAAGTACAGGTGATCTAAACAAGGACGTTTGCTTGTGAGAGGTTAGTACTTGTGCTTCATAGAATTTTAAAAATTAATTGTTTATGTATATAAGATCAATTCTATGAAAGATGTGCAAAAATCGCTTTGAAATTACCAATTGTGAGATCAGCAATTAAATTTCACACCATTCTATTAAAGATTGATGAGCAGATAATTACTGGCTGGTGCTGCAGTTGCGTCTGATGGGAAGCAGCTATGAAGACAGAAGAGGCTGTAGTCTCCTGTGAAAAGTTACACAATTCTGAGCTTTCCAATTTAATAGAGGAGACTGTCATTTTATAGTATTAGGAATGGGGCATTTTATCTTTTAATGGATAAAAATATGACAAAAATTTAAGATTGAAAAATAGAAAATTTTAACATTTTAACTTAAATTTCAACTTACACAATTTGGTAGTTTCTATTAAAAGCCTTGAAAATAACCCAGTAAACCTGCTATTTGTACATTTAATGTATTTACAGAGATTTTATACATATGAAATTTTATTTGCAGACAATGGAAGTATGTATGTATGTGAGAGTTTTCTATTCTTTGAATATGGAAAATTCTCTAGGATGTATACTTAGTGAGAAAAGAAAGGAATAAAACTGTTTTATACTATTTTATATATTTTTATATGAAAAAGAGGTGAGGAACAATAAAAATATATATATTGATTGCATACATATAAAAACATCTTTGAAAAAATACTAAAATAATGGACAAGATTGGCTTTACAACATTACTTTCAGTACCCAAATATTGAGAGAAAATACCTAATAGTAGGGAATTGGTTGGATAAATTTTGGTGTAGTATATAATGACATGTTATTCAGTCAACCAAATGGATGTTAAAGAATTATGTTGAAGAATCTGCATGATATATACTGCTAGATGATAAAATACAACAGGTCTATATATTATGATTCATATTTTATAAAAAGTATATAAATATATACTTTTATACATATATACATATATATGTGTGTGCATATATATATATATATATATATATAT